GAACACCTTTGGAAAGTTCATATATGTGACATGACAATTTAGAAAGATGGGAATTGCTGGAGAAAGAACTTTACAATGAAAATATGAATACTGTTCTACCATGGATGAAAGACTTAATAATTGAGAGTAGTTGCATGCTTAAAGTTAAACATCTCCTTGTGGTGCTTGCAGACTTGAGATCAAATATTCTTACTATATTTTGCTATATGCTGCAAATATAATTTGGGGTTGTAATGATCTACTCTGCTGACTGGAAAGTTGTGATTGCTGACTGTAAGTTGCAATGACTTACTCTAAAAACTTACCCTAAAACTCAGAAACCAGGATGTTTTCTTGCTATAAAGCAGTAGATACTATCAGTCTATGGAGTGTTAGGAGCTGGAAAATTCATAAAAATACCACAAAAACCTGTCTGCACGGCATACCTTCTGCTGAGTCCCTCATGTACCATAGGAATTTGCTCTGTAGGCAGTATTTCTAGACATGTTGCAAGCTGTACAGGTGGGTGTATACATATTGTCTGTGTCATGATTACCACTAAGTTGCCTGACTCGTGTTCCTGTCAAATAAGGAAACCTTCATTCACAACAGCCTGTTTTTTCATATGAAGGTAAAAAAAAGTCAATGCCAGTGTTTCCTTCAGTAACATTTTCAGTCTCACCTGAAACCTTCAAACACTTGTCACTAATCTGCAGGCACAAAATGCTGCACTAAGTGCCAAAGCAGTAATCCTTACAGCCATACAAAGGCTCAGCAGTGCCTCTGCCTGCAGATTGACAGAAATCGCCAGAAGTCAGAGGGGGTTCTCAGTTGACATTTGTTAACTATTATTTCTGTTGTATTCCAACAGGGTCTAATTGTTGATTCAGAGCCTGGGCAGTTTCCACAGTCTGTCTTTGCATATTTATTACATGCGACCGACTATTCTTTGTCTACCCGTTTCCAGAAAACTGAGAAATGCAAAAGTCCATGACGCCATAAGCAGGTGCTCAGCATATCACCAGGCGAGTCTACACGTCACTGATACCGTACTGTCTCTCAGAGACCGTGCCAAAGTTGGACTTCATGATGAACTTGTTAAAAAAGGAAATGCTTGAATGGGCATGGCTTGGGTTGTTCCATCACTCTGAGTTTGGTGTTGTTCTCACACCTCCTCCATCATATTTGGTGATTAAGCCTGCAGAGATAATGTTTTCTTCAAAGTAGAGCTACTAACTGGCTAGCAATTATTTTGTGCTGAACTTCCCTTCATCACTCTTGAGCTAAAATAATATCTTGGACATCACGTCATCTTTGAACAATCCCTTTGCTGCTTCGTAAATTAACAGGAAGTCTGGGCAGCAGGACTGCTTTTGGCAGAATTTGCCAAAAATCTGACAACACAGCTGGAAGTATAGCTCTTCATGTTGATTCTCATTAGTACTATTAGTTTCATCTTTCTTTGCCCAAAGAACATATTTAGTTGAACATTTCCCTCCCATTTGCAATAGGCTAAAATTTATCTCAAATCTGCCCAAACTTTGCAGAAAATAATACTTTGATAAGCATGATCTTGGAGGATCTAATCTTTTTGTCAGTGATAAAATGTGGCTCTTGACACAAAATCCTTTCCTCCATGTGATTTTCTTGTAAGCTTTACCACTGATATTGGTTACTTGGAAATGTTTGAAAAGTAGCTTGGCCTTGTTGCATTCAAACTGTGCTTACTCGAGTTTGATGAAAATCTGCTTAGTATTTCACATATCCTCTTTGAAATTCTATCATGCCTATCAGTTTTTGGGTTGTTCAGGGGCCCTATCACTGTGAGTTTGACCCTGGGTTCAAAGCTAGCTTGGTGTAAATTCATAAGCTTTGTATTGTGGGAGTTACAGGCTGCATGATAGATTCTGGGAGCTGCCTTTTATCATGCATTGACCTAAACTGTCAAAAAATTCACATCAAACTCATTCAGACATGTCTGGTTTCAGAGTATCTGGAATGCTCCTCTTCGAGTAGGGCGATGTGTTGTCTTGTATCACTTTCTTCTGCAGAATCAGGACACTTCCTGCCTACCCTCTTTGTTTATTTAGCATACGGGATGAAGCACTATTCATCCAGGCAGTTCCTAAGTCAATGGAATGGAGGATTAATGACATTGTAGCGTATGGAGCAGGCCCCCTCCTGGGGTCTCTTAAGCTGTATATATACCCCTGGGTTTATTCCATGCTGTTCCATTTAGCATCATCTCTGCCTGAACTGTGGTGGCTGCTATATCCTTTTATCAAAAATATTTCCTATTGGGTAACTGAAGTAAAACAAGCAAAAATGGAAAAGAAAAAAAAATAATCCACCACTGAAAACTTGCAGAGATATTTTTAAAAGCACAGTGGATATCCAGGCAGTATCTCATGAGAAAAAAGGATGGCTTGTGCGTGCCCTGAGTGAGGTGGAACAGTGCACAATATGCTGTAGCCTTGCTTTGCTTCCGAGTTCATTACTATAACCTGCAAAATAGGAAAGAAAATTACAAGTTCATGCTCACATACCCTGCTCTGGCAAAGCTATTTCTGAAGATGGAATTAATTGGAGTATTTTAGTTTAAGCTAACTTCAGAATCTGTTGGGCCCAGAAAAAGAGAGGATCACTTTAAATATGAAGTTAACCCTCATGTTCAGGGGCAACTAATCTACATTCTGTGTGTTAATATGATATAAATTACTGAATTTCCTAAATTGCAATTGATTTCTACTCATAGAATAAAATGTCTGGAAGAAGAGTCCATAATTATAGATGGTTCAGCTTTTGCCATGATTTTTTGCTGGTATGTTAAGTCCAGAAGCCATAACACATTTGAAGTATTTATTCATAATGTTGTGCTTCTTGTACATTGTGTGTATATCCACATATTAGACTGGAGAAATGCCTATACAAGCAGAGTCTGTGCTTCAAACAACTTTTTTTATTGCTAGCTCTTTGTATTTGCTAAGCAACACAAATTAACTCTTCCTCAAAATACCATTCCCTCAAATAAAACGGCCATTATTTGCAATTGTGCAACACAGTTCAGGACATTGCACTTGCAGTGTGTTTCATCCAGGAAAGGCTCCCTTTCTGCACCGGATCTTTGCAGGTGCGTTAACCTTTCCGTGTCAATCTGTCTCTAATCAGTCTTAATGTCTAGAAATTTCCATCTAGCATTCATGGCTTTTTTCCACCATGGTAACCGGAAATATAAGTACGCACCTGGTCTTATATAGATCAGGAAGACCTTAAATCAAAATCCTGACAGCTGTTCGGTACATAGTAAGTGTTATGCCTCCTTTATCTTTTGTTATATTAAAACAGGGGGACATGAAATGAAACTAAAATACGAATTTGCCCTTCTAGTGTCTTCCCCAAGTCTGCTATACTAGTGATATCCCTGCTGGCTTTGAACTGAGCTTCTGAGACCAGTGTCTTTGATATGATCCTTGCCCTCTCAGTCATGCTGCTTCCTAGAGGAGTTTGTGTCACTGATCTGCTGACAGCCAGATTGCTATTTTTTCTTCAACATTGTACTGAGGATAGAAGTGACATTATGCTGTTTGCAGTGGGTTTTCTTTTACTAATTATTCAATGCAATGCTAGGGACAAATTATTCTTGGGGACTGAAGAACTGTGATCTTTCTAATAGACTTGGATTAATTCCAGCTGGTTTTAAGCACCTTTCTCCATTAGCTAGAAGAGGCGATTAGCATGAAGAGCCTCCTGAGTTAAGTGTCTTTTTAGCATCTAAAGTTAGTGCTGGTAAACTGACCCACCAAATCCTGCATTAGGCCTATTTTAATGGCTCAACTATAATCTCAGTGCGTTATCTTTTCCTGAGATAATTGCCCGTTTTCCCCTTTGTTTCAGTACAGCTATTCTGACAAACAAAGCCAGAAGACCTGTCGCCCGCACACTTCTTTGTTTCACTGGTATGAATTTCTGATGGGAAGCCC